ATATACTACATATAAATATATATATATAAAGTGTGACTTGATTTTCGTAGAACAGTGCTCAATACATAGACGTAGAGTGAAGTATATATTGTGGGAGCAAAAAGACAAGTAAACTACAAGTTCATCCCTACAAGCCTGTTTCGTGGTCGCCCACTCATCAGGGGATTTACTGAGAATAAACTTTACCATTGCTTATATACAATCTAATTTGCATTATCTAACTAGTCTAATTTATGCATTCTAAATTATTTTCAAACTCTGGAAAAATTCTATTTGTTGGTGAATAATCCTAGTATGAAAAAAATCAACAAGCATAAATTCATATTCATTTCCCATGGATTTTGTGACCCAAATGCTGAAAGTTTGGAAAAATATCAGCATATTTTAAATGCACCAAAACCTTACAACAATATGAATTCACCTCTCACCTTTCACCATGTTTTAATGTTTATTCTTGGGGAAATCATGCCTGCAGACTCTACCAAATACACCTTTCTCATCAAAAAGTCAATTCTTCCCTTTACTTATAAGGGCAGGGAGGACTTCACCTGCATGGAATCTATCGCATTCCTTGGATATAACACATAAGTTATGTATCAATGTTATTATACCCTATATCTGTTTTGACACAATTGGCATTATGATACCTATAAATGGAGTTCTTACCAAAGATCAAAATCTAAAATAATAACAGTTATCATTACTAACACTAAACAGTAGATCCCCATGTCTTGATGAAATTGCATTTCCACCTTTTGCTTTCTTTCTTGCCAGACCAAAGCAGGCCTCAATACTTTCAATGAGCACACCATTTTTCTGGGGTAAGATGCAAAAGGGTAATGATTAGATTTTTTAATCACATCGTCTGAATATCTTCTGAATAAAATTGTCCTTTACTGGATGTGCTTCAGGGATACAACAACTGCTCACACTCACTCATGGCCCAGTGTGCCACATGGCACATGGGGCTTCAGCATTAAAGGGTTCTCCTTACTGCTGACAATCCTGTGCCCTTTGTAGAGCTCAGCCTGGGAAACACCAGGAAATGGTAATTACCTTTTCCTAACAGCAGGGTTAAAGGTAAAGTCGATTTTATAATGAGCTGAAACACAAAACGTTACTATCAAATCATCTCAAAACACTCAATAATGACAACTGCCCCCACTAAATTTGGATGAGATTGCATGAAGTGAGTAATTACTATCAGCCCTGTTATCATCATGATGACAGTCACTGTACAATGTTCTTACAGTGAAATGGAGCTTGGTATTAACTGTTGCCTGATGAGAAACAGCACGAAGGAGGCTGGCAGACCACTAATAATAACAAAATAATTATGTAGAACAACTTACTTTGGAATACAAGGGGCAATCAGCACCATTGTAGAGTTCTGGCACAAAGGAGTCCAACGAAGTACCTTAGCTTGTACTTGAAATATCTATATCACATGTCACAAGATAACATTAATTTAGGTTGCTAACATGTACAATATAAATTCTAAGTATATTTTAAAAGAGATATACCTATTATATTGCTACCATTAAATTAATAACTGCATGAGAAAATCAAATTACTCCACATGAAAACTGACGAAACTGTCCAAAACAATAACTAGCCAAGCAAATCATATATTTATACTGATGCTTATTGGTTTCTTTAACACGAAGTAAGTAGGAGCTTCACTACCACCTACAGTACCCTGGGTAAGACGCTAGTACCTCACACTGGGTACTGATTTTCAGATGTTACCAAACGACTACCAGTATCCGTTTATACACCTAAGTGAGGAATTACACAATGTGGATTAAGGTTTCTTGTCTATAGAAAGGAAACAAAGCACTGGCAGAGTACAGGCTCAAACCAACAGTCTTTGATCGACTCAAGAGCCCACTACTAGCTCTCTAACCATTAGGACACTGTGCCTTTGCATTTCATCATCAATTCCTTTCCTCCATATAGGGCATGGCCAAGTTAGTCACCCACTGATATAATTAAATATCAGTTTAAAAATGCATTCCACTAACCTGTACTCTTCAAAGCAACCAGAGTTTAATATGGCATGAACGAATGAACGAATCTGCAAAACAATAAATTATTTTAATTGAGCACTTAGCCATTATCAACATAGCCACTGCAGCTAGTAAACCTTGTCTGCTTGCCAGGTCACCTTTCTAGGCAAGCTAGAACAGACCTACCAAGACCATCAACACAACTTGATGGCCTTGGTATTTGCAGGGTTTTAAATAGCTTAAATGGGAAAACTAACAGTCCAGAAGATTTCTAAAATGGACAGTGTAACTGGAAATTAAAATATTAGGGTACATAGCTTTTAAATTCAACACTCGCTAAGATTTGAAGGCCAGCACTCCAAACATTTACT